ATAGCTCCGTGAATCAAGCTATTACAACCAGTATAAACTGACCGTTGTATGTACTAAAATATTATATAAAGCGAGGTCAAAATAAACCGGTTATATGCAGTTCGATATGTAGCAGTATTTTTAACAAATAATTTAATTTTATGGCATGTACAGATCGAATTTAAGATAATATTTAAGTTTTTTTTAAGATTATAACCTTAAAATAGTTTTATATATACAAAAATCCTTGGTCCAATGACATTTTGATCAATACAAGTAACGACCAGTTTCACAAACCTCAGTAGATATACAATTTTGACACATATTGAATGAAGATAATGTCATGGCAACATTTGTCACCACCGTAACTCTTCCCGCGGGTATCATATACCCGACTAAGTGACTACACATTAGACAGAGACCGGGCAGCAGCGCTCTCTGATAAACCTGAACCTTTTATACTGCGATCTCCAAACCTGCCTTTTTTATGGCATAAGCCGGTAAACGAGCAGAAGGATCACCTGATGGTAAGCAATCGGCGTCGCCCATGTACATATGGATCACCAAAGGCGTTACCGGCCTTTTGGGATTAGGAATTTGAGAAATTTGGGAATTTAGAGATTGGGGGGGGGTTGACCGGCCTTTTGGGGATTAGGAGTTTGAGGATCGTTGGGGATTCAAGGATTAGGGAAGGGGAGGGGTGTTGTAATTGGACCTCCGGTAGCCTTACCAACACGACGAAACACAACGCAAGCGTTGCTTCACGTCGGTTTTCTGCTCGGCCGTGGTATCACTCCGGTCGAGCCGGCCCATTCGTGCCGTAGCATGGCTCTTCTATACTTGCATTCATATCATTATGATGTCAAAATTGTATCTCTTGGTTATTGGAACTGAATGTTAGTGTAATTTTTATAACAATGTTGACGTTTAACTCGTCGAGTACCGGTTTTATAGACACAATTAAAGAACAATAGGTCGCGGTCACCGGTGACCGCTTGGTGTTTGACAGATTAATAAAGAAATTACTCTATTTTGAAGAATTAAACATCTACATTAGGGAGCAATGAAACGGAGCCACTAGCTTTTTCTTCCCATCGTGCTAAATATTACCTGATACAAGTATTTTATTAAGGGGCCATCCATAAATTACGTCACAACTTAAGGGGGAGGGAGGGGGTCGACGAAGTGTGACATTGTGTGACAAGGGGTAGGGAGGGGGTCGATGAAGTGTGACAATGTGTAACAAGGGGAAGGGAGGGATCAAAAACTTTGTGATGTCACATTTCAAAAACTGTTATAATCTGCGTTAAAATACGAAATGTAATTGTATTGATGTTTTTGATTTTGTTATTTTTTAAAGTAATTTAAGTAGAAATAAAAATAACAGTAGTTTCTATATTGTAATTCTGTAAAATGGGACGTCACACTAGGGGGGAGGGGGAGTCTCACAAATGTGACTAGCTGTGACAAGGACGGGGGGAGGGGCAAAAAACATTAAATTCGTGTGACGTAATTAATGGATGACCCCTAATTGGTAACGTATGTTGTATAAAGGCAATTTAGGTACCTTTATAATGAGAGCGTTTTGTTGTAAAACGAAGTGGTATAGAGGGTTTAATAAAATGAAAACATCGCTAGACGCTGCGGTTCTTTGCTCTGTGTAGATAACAAATCTCACATCTCAAAATCATTTATAAACATAAAAATAATAGTCTAAATATTGCAGCAAATTATAACTTATAATTCTAACATTCACTAAATCACATGAAAAATCAGCTAAAGACCAATGGAATAAAGCCAAAGGATACATTATGGGACCAATGTCGAGAATCGAACCCGAGACCCCTTGCCCGGCAGTCGCACTTGCGACCACACGGCCAACGAGGATTTAAATACATAAATAAATAAACATCAACGTAGCTATGGACATAAAGCGCGTGTTGTCGCCTTATAATATTATCCTTACTAATATTATAAATCGGAAAGTGAGTTTGTTTGTTTGTTCCGCTTTCACGCCGTAACTACTAAACCGATTGCTTTGAATTTTTGCAGACGTAAAGTTAGAAGTCCGGATTAAATAATAGGGTACTTTTTAACCCGGAAAAATTTGATATTCCCGAGGGAAAACGAAATTATTGGTATAGATGACGCTGTATGTATTGGTATATGTCACATAGGCTACTTTTTATCCTTTTGCTGCGGGTAAAAGCTAGTAATATTTCACATATGTGACATATGACATATGTGAGGCGAAATCGACAGGCTTCACTTGACATGTCATGGGACTTTTGACCTGTAATGTCCCCTTGGCTTTACCGTCTGTCGATTTATGATTACAAATACAATTTTGACACATATTTTATGACACTTATATGAATTAAACCTAAAATCGATGTTAAATGTTTCCAAACAAGCCATAAGTGTATTTTTCCATGTGTATGTATCTACGTCCGTCCCACTCCAATCCTCTCTCTCACTCTACAAGGTGTTGTTTTAAAGCCGCGTTATTTTCTAGGAGGTAACTCGGCTATCGATTCTGAGTCCGAAACAATAAAAAAATTGTAGGTAAATATTTTTCATTTTTCTGTACTTTACGGAAATCCGTAAGTGCGAACTACACGCCGCCGTCTTGTAACTAGCTTTATAACGCGGCTTAACACACACAAACTCAAACACGTAATTGATATTATTACTTTCTCTTACATTGAACCTTTATGACTTCTGTGACATGCCCCCGAGAAATGTCACGGTTTTAAAACTACACCTTGTATTTACTGGCAGTTCTGAGTGATGACACAACTATACAAGAACACAAACTGCTATTTGCTGCGGACAGATGTACTCGCACCTTTGTGGGTTGTTCACAAATCTGGCCTTAGTATTGAGATGAATATCACATTATTGTGTAAAAGTGCTTGCCTTGTAGAAACAAATTCACTTGTTTCAATTAAACTGTCAAACACCAAGCGGTCACCGGTGACCGCGACCTATTGTTCTTTAATTATGTCTATAAAACCCGTACTCGACGAGTTAATTAATATTATAAACAAGCTACTTCTGCGCAGTTGCACGCTCTCTGCTCAGCTCCTAATGATCGTAGCGTGATGTTTTGTAGCCTATAACCTTCCTCGATAAATGTACTATCCAACACAAAAAGAATGATTGAAATCGAACTGGTAGTTTCGGAGATCAGTGCGTTCAAACAAACAAACAAACTTCAGCTTCTTCAGCTTTATAATATTAGGATAGATATGAAAGTATCTTTGTTTTAATGTTCGTTCGTCAATCACGCTGAAACTACTGAACGGATTTTGATGAAATTTGGTATACAGGCAGGGTATGAGCTGACTTAGGTGATATAATACTTTTTATCCGGATTAAATGCTCCCATGTGATAAAACAGGAATCATATTCTACGCGGACCAAGTCGCGGGCAACAGCTAGTACTTTATATATATCTTATCTTGTATACTATTGTATAAAGCTGGAGAGTTTGTTTGTTTGTGTGTTTGTTTGTTTGAACGCGCTAATCTCAGGAACTACAAGTCCGATTGGAAAAAATATTTTTGTATTGGATAGTCTATTTATCGAGGCTATATATATAGGCTATAAAACATCACGCTACGACCAATAGAAGCCAAGCAGAGTGAAACCGCGCGGGAGAGACAAACATATTTCTATATACAAGTTCAAAAATGTATCAAAATTCTATTTCTAATATCAAATCGACAGATCCATAAGTTATTTGAAACTGGCTGTGTATAAATATATACAGGTTTAAGTATTTTTTACAACATAACCTATAAATTTGACAGGAGGTTCATTATCATGATACCAGCCCATCATACTACCCTAAACTGTCCAATAGATTTTCGACCGAATAGCAAAGGAATTAAAGTTAAAAGTCTTTTGAAAAATGTTAACAGTTTCGGGTAGTTTCATGTGCTAGGGGCCGTCCAAATATTACGTAAGCAGATTGTTTACAATTATTTACCCCCCCATCCCCCTTGTCAGCAAAAGTAAGCAAAGACCTTACCCCCTCCCCCTTTGCTTACGTAAACATTTTAAATTATATCTTTTTTATATTGTAATTTTAATATTCTCCAAATACCATGTCATGTTCTTTGTCGGTCTTTGCTTTTAATTTATAATATCAATATGAGGGTTGCCATTCGTATAAAAAAGTAAATAACTACCGATGACAAAACAGAGACCCCCCACACCCCATGGTGCTTACGTAATACTTGACCGGGCCCTTAAGTACTTGAAAATTAATTTTTTTTTCGTAAAAAAAATATTTGCATTCAATGTCGTTTAAGTAGCATTATACTTAATGTATTTTTAAGTAATTTATCAAATATAGGCATTAGTACAAGTGTTTCACGGTTAAAGTAATCGAAACGAGACCTTGTTCGGCGCTCTGATTGGGTGGTTTCTTGTACTAATGTCTCTGATTGGCCGGCGCTAATGAAGCAACCAATCACAGCGCCGGAGGCAGTCTCGTTTCGATTACTTTTAACTTGAAAAAAATTTTACTAAGCCCTCAGTAAGTTTGTTTATCAATACAGGTAAGTTATGGCCGATTTTTTGTTGTACAAAATGGTATTTAATTTTATAATAAGTTAGTGACTCAGATATAAAGCAAGACAGGGTCTAAAATAATAAAAAAGAAACATTTTGAATTCATTCAATATTTTTCCAATTAATAATTACATGTTAAGGGATTTTTTACGGAATAGGAGGCGAATGACAGACGGATCACCTGATGGTAAGCAATCAGCGCCGCCCATGGACATCCACAACATCTGACTTATCTTTAGATACTTGAAAAATATTAGAAATATACAAAATGAATTCAAAGTCCAAAAAACAAACAACACACCGCATTTTATATCAACAATAAATCGACCAAAAATAACCTAACCTAACAAAAAACAAATTGCAAAAAATACATAATCTTACGCGAACAGTCGATTACTTAAATGGGTCTACAAAATAAATAAAATATACAAAAAATATAGTTACTTTTGTAAACTGAATATTAAAATCAAAATGGCGGCTACTAAAAAGGCGGGAGATGTCAGGGTGACAGCCGAGCAAGTCAAAATGTCATTTCGGTATAGATTTGGCGGCAAAGGCTCTTCTCCGCCTTTGCAGTACTCGTTTCGGGACTGTAAAAGAATTTTTGATTAGGTAAATAAATTATAATAAAGATCTTATAGGGTCCGAGCGCACCCTAGCGAGTGCAGATTCAAAAATATTATCAAACTCTTGAGTATCTAAACTTAATCATGGCGCTTACTCTTGAAACCAATCTCAATGTCAATTCAATAAAATCTCAATAATAGGGTAGACGACTAATTTTTATTTTAATGTCCGTCTGATAGATTATTTAAAAACATTAGACACGTATTTTTTATTTTCTCACAGAAACGAATAGTTTCGAAGATATATTGATTTGAAATGTCGCGTGACGTCACTTCTCAGTACATTTTATACTAAGAAATGACGTTTTAGCCCCCACACCAAAACTTTGATTCGTTTTATCTAAGTATTGTTTTATTATACGACAAAATAAAAAAATACGTGTCTAATATTTTTTCATTACCTAACTTGCGAACTAATTATATTTTTAATTTTCATACCCTGTCATCATCCCCATTAGGTACTTGCCTTCATCAAAAATAAAATATTTCGACTGTTCAATACAATAAAAAATAATTACACTTTCATCAATTGATTTTATGACCAACTTAATTTTAGTATTTTTCCAGCAAATCTTTAACAAATAAGTATGCTGTTTGACTCTAAAAAAACGTGACGTCACAATACACAATCTCGTATAAAATTCATAGAAAACTGTCGTTTTTGATAGTTCAAAGAAGTATTGAATTTGACTAGTTGGCCAGTACTTAATTATTCAATGTCAACACTATACAACCCCTATCACAGCTGTAATAGCATTCAGAGTACGGAATATAAAGCCAAACTCAATATTTAGTTTATTTAGTTCATTCAATATCCACGCAATGCGGATGCAATGGGCGCTAGTGTTACAACTCAAGAGTACGAAATTTCACAATACCAATGTCGATCGACCGGAATTGGATTCAAGAGTAAGCCACGAGAAAAATGGCAAAACAATTAAAAAATGGGATTTAAAAACAGTTGTTTTTTAGGGACAAGCCCGCCACAACCTCCCAAAACCGCTGCAACTCCTGTAAGCCAGGATCTACAGTAGATACAACTATGAAAACACCGGAACACTGAAGTCCGGCGCGTCCCAGGGACATGAGTAACTGTCTTGGTTCCCGCAACGAAATGAATCAGAAGATATAATTCACAACTTGACAAATAACAGTTTGTAACAATAGAGGTCGCTAGTATCATTGTTTTGTTGTTTCATATTTTTGTGGTTGTTTTTTGTTTTTTTGATTGATCAATCTTTGTAATCATAGTATTAAGTATTTCTTATGTTTTTTTTAAATTGTGAGTTCACCCTAAATAGATTTCTGTTTATGTGAATTTTGTATTTGCATTTAAAAAATTAAATTTAGGCTAATAACTATTAGGTCAATTTATTTTTTTATAAAATTAAAAAACTGCGTTTAAAAAAACCGACTTCAAAAACAAATTACAAACAAAAAGTAAAAACTAAAAAGGAAAAAAAAACTATTAGTGGTCATACGTAGTGGTCATACGTATTAGTGGTTATAGCTTACACACCCACTGATAGGTTAGAAGTCGGTGCCACAAGTTTTAAACAAAATTATTCATTAAAACCTTAATAGATACCTAACATTATTGAGCTGTTTACAATTTTATTATGAAGTATACCAGCTGTGACTTTTGTCTACTTTATATTTTATTGTGGGTTTGTGGCACCGACTTCTAACCTATCAGTAGGTGTGTAAGCTATAACCACTAATACGTATGACCACTACGTATGACCACTAATAGTTTTTTTTTCCTTTTTAGTTTTTACTTTTTGTTTGTAATTTGTTTTTGAAGTCGGTTTTTTTAAACGCAGTTTTTTAATTTTATTTTATACTTTTTAGTTTAGTACTTTATATTATATTATACAAAACCCACATGGATGCAAAGTTTTCATCAATACAAATTATGCAAGTTCAAACACCGGGTGGGTACTCTTAACCATTGAGAAGTCCCTTAGCTATCATACTACTTCGTCATTGGACCTTTAATGACCATCACCGGGGGGCCCCCATCTAGGTGTAAAGTCCTCATCAATACAAATTAATCAAACCTAAACACAAAATAGCTACTGTTAACCGTTAAGGAGTTCCCTTAACTATCGTACTACTTCATCATCAGACCCTTATTGACAATTACACCGCACTCAGGTGTAAAGTCCTCATCAATACAAATTAATCAAACCCAAACACAAAATACCTACTGTTAACCGTTAAGGAGTTCCCTCAACTATTGGACTACTTCATCATCAGACCCTTATTGACAATTACACCCCACACAGGTGTAAAGTCCTCATCAATACAAATTAATCAAACCCAAACACAAGGTAGCTACTGTTAACCGTTGAGGAGTTCCCTCAACTGGCTCTCGGCTCCATCATCAGATCGGCTCCAGACCTTTATCAGATTGTAGTGGTTTTTAATACTTAATTAAAAAATTAACAAATGCCCTAGTCACCCCTATAATTTTTAAAAGTTCCCCTCGGTTTCCCTGGTCTTCCATCATCAGATCCTGATTTCCTTATCATGGGACCATTCTGGAACTATCTCCTTTCTAACAAAAAAAGAATTTTCAAAATCGGTTTATAAACAACGGAGATATCGGCGAACAAACATAAAAAAAAAAAAAAAGCATATATACGGTCGAATTGAGAACCTCCTCCTTTTTTTGAAGTCGGTTAATAATATAAAATGCATTGAGTACTTGTTTATTATCAATATAATTCTCATTACTATTATTTTTAAATAATTTCCATTAATATATTCTTAGTTATACGATGGTGTTCAAGCAATGTGTGTTATTTTTTTTTATAAATGATTATAATATATTAAGAATCTAATGTTACGATTAAATGAAACGACATTTTACGTAGTTTTAGTGAAAGCGAATGTATTTAATGTTACAAATCTATTTTTAAGCTTAACGACTGATGTATAATATTGGCCTTGTTTGGAGCCGTGTTCCATGCAAAGCCATTTGGAAGAGCTTTATAAAACTTAAATTTAATAATTGTTGTTTAAAGTTAGGCAAAAAATAAATAAATAATATGGTGGACAATAAAACAAAGTATTACTTAATAACTTGTTTCCTTCATTTATCCAGTAAATAAATGAATAAAAAGTGTTTACTCGTTAGAGTGGCCATCTATGGTCCACCCACCTTATTCTCTTGTGTATGATGTGAATTGATGTGTTAGCCTATAATTGATTGTTACACTAGCGAATGCATATTGTAAACCGATTTGTTGTAATATGATGTGTAAACAGTCGTTGGCTGACCCTAAATAAATAAAATAAAAAAATAAAAATTACTGAAATAGTAAAAACAATTTCTTTAAGTCAGCGTTTCGGGAGCGTTGCGTTTAAGAAAGAAAATTACTAAAACACACATTATGTTTTTACTTTTCATAATATAGACTTACCGCGAATTCCTCTTTGCAGAGTTCCCTACAAGGAGGGCAGACCACGCCCCCTTTGTGCAACCACCCTTTTTTGATTATCCTTATTTGAAGTACTTGGCTCGCATGGTAACAGGTATATGAATAGTTGCCGACCTGGGAACGAATTCAATACATTTTAGAAATATTCATCATCAACAGCCTATAAATGCCCACTGCTGAGCAAAGCCTCTTCTCACACGGAGAAGGTTAGAGCATTAATCACCACGCAGCGTGGTCCACGCTTGCTCAATGCGGGTTGGCGATTTCAAACTTATAATTAGAAATTATAAGTCCAGGTTTCCTCACGATGTTTTCCTTCACCGTTAGTCAGTGGTGTCTAAATAATCTTAGAAAGTACATATAACTCGGAAAAAGTCACATTGGTACTTGCCGTTGGTAGGTTTCGAACCCGCACCCTCATGCATGAGAAGTAGGCGTCTTAAACCTCCGGGCCACCACGAATGGAAACTTTAGAAATATTAACAAGATTCATTTATTACTGGGTTTTAAAAAAATTCAAAGTAGCACGGAGTCTGAAATTGTGCCCGGTATATGACAATAGGCTCACCTCCCATTACATGGGACTCATAACATAAATAGTGAAAAGTGGGTGTTACATTGTACAGTGTCGTAATGTACCCGGGGGTAAAGGGCGTGATGTTAGGATGTTACTTGGGATTAAAATATTCTGTTTTTAGTTTGGACCATACAAATATCTAGACACCTAACAAACTGTAAAGGAAAACATCGTGAGGAAACCTGGACTTATAATTGCTAATTATAAGTTTGAAATCGCCAACCCGCATTGAGCAAGCGTGGTGATTAATGTTCAAACCTTCTCCGTGTGAGAAGAGGCTTTTGGTCAGCAGTGTTCAAATATAAGCTGATGATGATGATAATTTCTTATTAATATTTAAATACTTACAACAATATGCAATCGGCCACTTTCACATTTGTATTTGTAGCAACCCGAACCCCAGTGTTGCCATTCTCTGATCTGAGAAAAAAAAAATACATTACTTTTGTGTCCTTTCAGACTAAGTCATGTACACTGCGATCTCCAATTTACCTGCCAAGCTTGGAGATTATGTCAAAACACTCTTATATGTATAGATTAGGCCCATAATCTAACAGTAGATAATAAACGCACCCCCTATTACCACTTTCATGAACCTCTCTTAAATTTTAAGTGCCCCCTAAACTGAGATAGATTTTATATTAATCACATATAATTGAGTACTTTCCTTAATCAAAAATAAATTATTTCGACTGTTCAATACAATAAAATATTCAAAAATAATCACATTTTCATTAATTGATTTTATGACCAACTTAATTTTAGTATTTTTCCAGCAAATGTTTAACAAATAAGTATGCTGTTTGACTCTAAAAAAACGTGACGTCAAGTATAAAATTCATAGAAAACTGTCGTTTTTGACTACTACACAATTAGGGGCGCCAATGATATGCTGGCCCAGGGCGCTCGCTAGGTTTAATTCGCCTGCACGGGTCTGCGGACGGCGAGCACGGGTGACTCGCCGCCCGACCAGGGGGCTTACTCTTGAATCCAATTCCGATCGATCGACATTGGTATTGTGAAATTTCGTACTCTTGATACAACACTAGCGTCCATTGCATCCGTATTGCATGGATATTGAATGAACTAAATGGTATTAAGTTTGGCTTTATATTCCGTACTCTGAATGCTATTGTAACAGCTACGATAGTGGTTGTATAGTGTTGACATTGAATAATTACTGAGATTTTATTGGGTTGAAATTGTATTGACATTGAGATTGGTTTCAAGAGTAAGCCCCCAGAACCAGACCCGAGCGTACAGCGCCGAGCGTTCCGCGCACGCCTCAAAGAGCCATCAGACCACCACAGATGGGGCCTAACAAGGCTGATGCCGATACGAAGCCGCGGAAGACTTAACGGGTAACCGGGGCTCCGGCTCGAAGTGCAGGAGTAGGAACGGGGTGGTTTTTAGTCAGTAAGAGTCTGACACTCCCTCCCGCTTCACCCGGGCGGGAGAAGTCATTAAATGATTTTCCCCCCTCAAAAAAAAAAAAGTTTAATTCGCCTCTGACGATGATGATAATCACCTGTCTACAGGACTTCTGCTCCCAAACTCTGTCGCTATGGTCAAAACATTTCGAGTGCGCTCCATAATTCTCTAGAGCGAAGTTCACGTCACTTTCTGTAAAATACAAGAATTATAAAAAATTAACATGACCATAATAAATTATTATCCTTTTTTCGGCTTACGCACGTAATTATTTGACGAGGAAATCGACTGGTTTCAAGCCATGCTAGAGGCTCATATTCATGAGCTTGAGCAGCATTCCGCAATAATTAATTTAGTATGACTCAAAAAAGTCTTAACATATTTTTTTTTATGACATAAGCCGGCAAACTTGGAGACGGAAACCCCAAAAAGCCGGTAACGCACTTGTAACACCTCTGGTGTTCCAGGTGTCCATGGGCGACGCCGATTGCTTACCATCAGGTAATCCGTCTGCTCGGTTGCCGGTTTACTATATAAAAAAAATCTCAGCACTTACTAGGCGTATTCTCCTCGTAAGAACAGCGGCTGCCCCTGACGAGCACGCTCTTATGCCTCCACGTGAATTCCTGAAGGTATGGGCAGTAGTCCGCCAGGGAGACGGAGCCTCCATAGTGGGCTTCTTCACCTGGAGCCACATTTGGAAGGGTGTCGAAATGCTGTAATGAAAGAAATAACATAATCAGCTATTTTTATGATTAGCTACTGTATCACATTAGGTTAAACCTGTAAAGATAAATAAATAAACAATTCACAAAAACAGTACAACGAATGCTATGTCCCCACCTCCCTAGACCCACTAATAAAAGAATGGCATTAGTTTTAAGTTTGAACAATTCCTTCGGAAACACTTGAAAGAGAGAGAGAAAGAGAGAGAAGGAGAAGGAGAAGGAGAGGGAGAGAGGGAGAGGGAGAGAGAGAAGATGAAAGAGAGGGAGAGGGAGATAGATGGGGAGAGAGAAAGAAGGGAGATAAAGATAGAGAGGGAGAGAGAGAAAGAGAGAGAGGGAGAGGGAGAAAGGGAGAGGGAGCGGGAGAGAGAGAGAGAGAGAGAGAGAGCGCACTTACAAATAAATGATATCATCATTAACTAAGGCCAATAATAGAGGTATAAAGCTAAATTTCTCACCTGGTATGCTCGAGGCAGTATAGTGTCATGGCGCACAAGGTTGCATAGTACCACGGCGTTACGTCGGGGGGAGCATTCCGTTCGTAGAGGATTACCTTTGATCCTCTCACAGAAGGGAGCCGGGTTCTTTCTCCTGCAGGAAACATTGATATAAAACAATATATCAAACTGTTGTTATACTAATTATAATAAGAAATAAAAAAAAAATTAAGTCCAAATAGTAGACTTAGGTACTATACGTATAATGAAATTTCAATCATTATAAAAACTGCCTCGTTGGCCGAGTGGTCGCAAGTGCGACTATCGGGTAAGGGGTCTCGGGTTCGAGTTCCGGGTCGGAAAAAAGTATTAATACTTTTTTTTTTAAATTCTACGTAGTAGCACAGTGTTTGGAATTCCATCATTACATCACTTTACGGCACTTAATGCCACTGTACAATGTAACACTCACTTTTCACTATTTATGTTATGAGTCCCATGTAATAATGGGTGAGCCTATTGCCACATACCCGGCACATTTCCAGACTCCGTGCTACTACTAAATATTTTTTTAAAACCCAGTGATACTTTACCCGACCCGTGAATCGAACCCGAGACAGGGGTCTCGTCCAGACCAGGCAAGGGTGCTTGGAAATCATACTTGCGACCACTCGGCCAACGAGGCAGTCATAAAAAACATGCTTGAAATCATTTACATTTTAAAACAATATTAAATAAAAATAAATAAATAAATAAATAAATAAATAAATAAATAAATAAATAATAATAAATAAATATTATCAAAACACACAACAAATCAATGAAAATAAATTTTCAACAATAACTCCCCAGAAACTTCACACTCCTACCTCGCTCCTAACTACCTAAGCGTAATGTTAGTTAGCTTAAACTAATCCTCAAAAAAAGTACTATATCATGCAAAAAGAATTATTAAAATCGGACCACTAGTTTACGAGAAAAAAGGCTACGAACAAAAAAGCAAGCAAGCAAACAAAAAAACAGGGTTTTTAACTATAATTAGTACTTACTCTTTCTCCGTAGTCCCGTTAGTAACGCTTTAAAATGAAATATTAAGGTTAGTAACAATACAATGAAAGAAATTAGTTTATTAACGCTTTGAACACCGTCATTATAGACACAATTAAAGAACAATAAGTTGCGGTCACCGGTGTCCTCGCGGTGTTTGACAGTTTAATATACAGTCACTAGCTACTTCCGCGCGGTTTCACTCGCTTTGCTCGGCATCTATTAATCGTAGCGTGATATTTTATAGCCTATAGCCTTCCTCGATAAATGGGCTATCCAACACAGAAAGAATTTTTCAATTCGAACCATTAGTTTCGGAGATTAGCGCGTTCAAACAAACAAACAAAAAAACAAATTCTTCAGCTTTATAATATTAGTATAGATTTGCTATGCAGGTTAAGTAATATAGACTGACTCAGTACACTGCACAGTTGATGCGGTGGCTGGGCAACTGACTGCCGCGCGACGTGTCACGGGTTCGATTCATGCACGGAGCAGCTATTTTTGTGATCCACAGATTGTTGTTCCGGGTCTGGGTGTCATGTGTATGTGAACTTGTATGTTTGTAAACGCACCCACGACACAGGAGAAAATCCTAGTGTGGGGCAATTTTTTATAAAGAAATATAATAAAATAAACAACTGACAGTAACTGACTATTGTTATACGAAATTAACATAACATAACATCACGCTTTTTATCCCCGATAAGGCAGAGGTGCACATTATGCCACTGTACAATGTAACACACACTTTTCACTATTTATGTTATGAGTCCCATGTAATAGGGGGTGAGTCTATTGCCATATACCGGGCACAATTCCAGACTCCGTGCTACTACTGAGATTTTTTTAAAACCCAGTAATACTTTGCCCGACCCTAGAATCGAACCCCAGACCCCTTGCCCGGCAGTCGCAGGCAGGCTCAGTTATATAGTTTTTAATCAAGCCACATCTTTTGTAACCATTGGTTGCTTTAGTAGACAACCAATCACCAGTCTAAGTACTGAATCAATTTTCATTTTCTTATTTACATACTAAATAGTTCTGCTGTCTGTGTATATCGACGTTGTACAGGCACCAAGGAGATCAACCTACTACGATCCATAACTTTATTAGATTTTCAACTGTATTTATTTTTATATAAAGTCAAAAATCCATTTGATTTTGTAGCAGGATGACTTGCTAGTGTCTATACTATGAAATGAAAAACTACCTTAACTCAAGATGGTTTGATGGCATTATAATTATACATGAGAGTTAGAAGACTTATGTGATTAACAAGGTATGTGTATCGAAAGATAATTCGTAGACATACAATATATTGGAAAAGAGTTAAACCCGCTACATGTCACACAGCGTGCTACGCGAAGTAGTTACAGCTGTGTACAGTCTGTCACTCTCTCAGCACTCCCCTACACTCCTACAGCGCGCTACATGTCACACAGCTTGCTACGCGCAGTAGTTACAGCTGTGTACAGTCTGTCACTCTCTCAGCACTCCCCTACACTCCTACAGCGCGCTACATGTCACACAGCTTGCTACGCGCAGTAGTTACAGCTGTGTACAGTCTGTCACTCTCTCAGCACTCCCCTACACTCCTACAGCGCGCTACATGTCACACAGCGTGCTACGCGAAGTAGTTACAGCTGTGTACAGTCTGTCACTCTCTCAGCACTCCCCTACACTCCTACAGCGCGCTACATGTCACACAGCTCGCTACGCGCAGTAGTTACAGCTGTGTACAGTCTGTCACTCTCTCAGCACTCCCCTACACTCCTACAGCGCGCTACATGTCACACAGCTCGCTACGCGCAGTAGTTACAGCTGTGTACAGTCTGTCACTCTCTCAGCACTCCCCTACACTCCTACAGCGCACTACATATCACATAGCGTGCTACGCGCAGTAGTTACAGCTGTGTACAGTCTGTCACTCTCACAGCACTCCCCTACACTCCTACAGCGCGCTACATGTCACACAGCTCGCTACGCGCTGTTGTTACAGCTGTGTACAGTCTGTCACTCTCTCAGCACTCCCCTACACTCCTACAGCGCGCTACATGTCACACAGCTCGCTACGCGCAGTAGTTACAGCTGTGTACAGTCTGTCACTCTCTCAGCACTCCCCTACACTCCTACAGCGCGCTACATGTCACACAGCTCGCTACGCGCAGTAGTTACAGCTGTGTACAGTCTGTCACTCTCTCAGCACTCCCCTACACTGCTACAGTGCGCTACATGTCACACAGCTCGCTACGCGCAGTAGTTACAGCTGTGTACAGTCTGTCACTCTCTCAGCACTCCCCTACACTCCTACAGCGCGCTACATGTCACACAGCTCGCTACGCGCAGTAGTTACAGCTGTGTACAGTCTGTCACTCTCTCAGCACTCCCCTACACTCCTACAGCGCACTACATATCACATAGCGTGCTACGCGCAGTAGTTACAGCTGTGTACAGTCTGTCACTCTCACAGCACTCCCCTACACTCCTACAGCGCGCTACATGTCACACAGCTCGCTACGCGCTGTTGTTACAGCTGTGTACAGTCTGTCACTCTCTCAGCACTCCCCTACACTCCTACAGCGCGCTACATGTCACACAGCTCGCTACGCGCAGTAGTTACAGCTGTGTACAGTCTGTCACTCTCTCAGCACTCCCCTACACTCCTACAGCGCGCTACATGTCACACAGCTCGCTACGCGCAGTAGTTACAGCTGTGTACAGTCTGTCACTCTCTCAGCACTCCCCTACACTCCTACAGCGCGCTACATGTCACACAGCTCGCTACGCGCTGTTGTTACAGCTGTGTACAGTCTGTCACTCTCTCAGCACTCCCCTACACTGCTACAGTGCGCTACATGTCACACAGCTCGCTACGCGCAGTAGTTACAGCTGTGTACAGTCTGTCACTCTCACAGCACTCCCCTACACTCCTACAGCGCGCTACATATCACATAGCGTGCTACGCGTAGTAGTTACAGCTGTGTACAGTCTGTCACTCTCACAGCACTCCCCTACACTCCTACAGCGCGCTACATGTCACACAGCTCGCTACGCGCAGTAGTTACAGCTGTGTACAGTCTGTCACTCTCACAGCACTCCCCTACACTCCTACAGCGCGCTACATGTCACACAGCTCGCTACGCGCTGTTGTTTACAGCTGTGTACAGTCTGTCACTCTCTCAGCACTCCCCTACACTCCTACAGCGCTACATGTCACACAGCTCGCTACGCGCAGTAGTTACAGCTGTGTACAGTCTGTCACTCTCTCAGCACTCCCCTACACTCCTACAGCGCGCTACATGTCACACAGCTCGCTACGCGCAGTAGTTACAGCTGTGTACAGTCTGTCACTCTCTCGCACTCCCCTACACTCCTACAGCGCGCTACATGTCACACAGCTCGCTACGCGCTGTTGTTACAGCTGTGTACAGTCTGTCACTCTCTCAGCACTCCCTACACTGCTACAGTGCGCTACATGTCACACAGCTCGCTACGCGCAGTAGTTACAGCTGTGTACAGTCTGTCACTCTCACAGCACTCCCCTACACTCCTACAGCGCGCTACATGTCACACAGCTCGCTACGCGCTGTTGTTACAGCTGTGTACAGTCTGTCACTCTCTCAGCACTCCCCTACACTCCTACAGCGCGCTACATGTCACACAGCTCGCTACGCGCAGTAGTTACAGCTGTATACAGTCTGTCACTCTCTCAGCAACCCCCTACACTCCTACAGCGCGCTACAATCACATAGCGTGCTACGCGCAGTAGTTACAGCTGTGTACAGTCTGTCACTCTCTCAGCACTCCCCTACACTCCTACAGCGCGCTACATGTCACACAGCTTGCTACGCGCAGTAGTTACAGCTGTGTACAGTCTGTCACTCTCTCAGCACTCCCCTACACTCCTACAGCGCGCTACATGTCACACAGCTCGCTACGCGCTGTTGTTACAGCTGTGTACAGTCTGTCACTCTCTCAGCACTCCCCTACACTCCTACAGCGCGCTACATGTCACACAGCTCGCTACGCGCAGTAGTTACAGCTGTGTACAGTCTGTCACTCTCTCAGCACTCCCCTACACTCCTACAGCGCGCTACATGTCACACAGCTCGCTACGCGCAGTAGTTACAGCTGTGTATAGTCTGTCACTCTCTCAGCACTCCCCTACACTCCTACAGCGCGCTACATGTCACACAGCTCGCTACGCGCAGTAGTTACAGCTGTGTACAGTCTGTCACTCTCTCAGCACTCCCCTACACTCCTACAGCGCGCTACATGTCACACAGCTCGCTACGCGCTGTTGTTACAGCTGTGTACAGTCTGTCACTCTCTCAGCACTCCCCTACACTGCTACAGTGCGCTACATGTCACACAGCTCGCTACGCGCAGTAGTTACAGCTGTGTACAGTCTGTCACTCTCACAGCACTCCCCTACACTCCTACAGCGCGCTACATATCACATAGCGTGCTACGCGTAGTAGTTACAGCTGTGTACAGTCTGTCACTCTCACAGCACTCCCCTACACTCCTACAGCGCGCTACATGTCACACAGCTCGCTACGCGCAGTAGTTACAGCTGTGTACAGTCTGTCACTCTCACAGCACTCCCCTACACTCCTACAGCGCGCTACATGTCACACAGCTCGCTACGCGCTGTTGTTACAGCTGTGTACAGTCTGTCACTCTCTCAGCACTCCCCTACACTCCTACAGCGCGCTACATGTCACACAGCTCGCTACGCGCAGTAGTTACAGCTGTGTACAGTCTGTCACTCTCTCAGCACTCCCCTACACTCCTACAGCGCGCTACATGTCACACAGCTCGCTACGCGCAGTAGTTACAGCTGTGTACAGTCTGTCACTCTCTCAGCACTCCCCTACACTCCTACAGCGCGCTACATGTCACACAGCTCGCTACGCGCTGTTGTTACAGCTGTGTACAGTCTGTCACTCTCTCAGCACTCCCCTACACTGCTACAGTGCGCTACATGTCACACAGCTCGCTACGCGCAGTAGTTACAGCTGTGTACAGTCTGTCACTCTCACAGCACTCCCCTACACTCCTACAGCGCGCTACATGTCACACAGCTCGCTACGCGCTGTTGTTACAGCTGTGTACAGTCTGTCACCCTCTCAGCACTCCCCTACACTCCTACAGCGCGCTACATGTCACACAGCTCGCTACGCGCAGTAGTTACAGCTGTATACAGTCTGTCACTCTCTCAGCAACCCCCTACACTCCTACAGCGCGCTACATATCACATAGCGTGCTACGCGCAGTAGTTACAGCTGTGTACAGTCTGTCACTCTCTCAGCACTCCCCTACACTCCTACAGCGCGCTACATGTCACACAGCTTGCTACGCGCAGTAGTTACAGCTGTGTACAGTCTGTCACTCTCTCAGCACTCCCCTACACTCCTACAGCGCGCTACATGTCACACAGCTCGCTACGCGCTGTTGTTACAGCTGTGTACAGTCTGTCACTCTCTCAGCACTCCCCTACACTCCTACAGCGCGCTACATGTCACACAGCTCGCTACGCGCAGTAGTTACAGCTGTGTACAGTCTGTCACTCTCTCAGCACTCCCCTACACTCCTACAGCGCGCTACATGTCACACAGCTCGCTACGCGCAGTAGTTACAGCTGTGTATAGTCTGTCACTCTCTCAGCACTCCCCTACACTCCTACAGCGCGCTACATGTCACACAGCTCGCTACGCGCAGTAGTTACAGCTGTGTACAGTCTGTCACTCTCTCAGCACTCCCCTACACTCCTACAGCGCGCTACATGTCACACAGCTCGCTACGCGCTGTTGTTACAGCTGTGTACAGTCTGTCACTCTCTCAGCACTCCCCTACACTCCTACAGCGCGCTACATGTCACACAGCTCGCTACGCGCAGTAGTTACAGCTGTGTACAGTCTGTCACTCTCTCAGCACTCCCCTACACTCCTACAGCGCGCTACATGTCACACAGCTCGCTACGCGCTGTTGTTACAGCTGTGTACAGTCTGTCACTCTCTCAGCACTCCCCTACACTGCTACAGTGCGCTACATGTCACACAGCTCGCTACGCGCAGTAGTTACAGCTGTGTACAGTCTGTCACTCTCTCAGCACTCCCCTACACTCCTACAGCGCGCTACATGTCACACAGCTCGCTACGCGCTGTTGTTACAGCTGTGTACAGTCTGTCACTCTCTCAGCACTCCCCTACACTGCTACAGTGCGCTACATGTCACACAGCTCGCTACGCGCAGTAGTTACAGCTGTGTACAGTCTGTCACTCTCTCATTCACTAATAACGAAAGAATTTCTAATATTTATTTTAATTACTTTATAGACTTACTTTGTCGTAGAATTGTCCATAGATTCGCTTGTAAGATAACATATAATATTAGTTACGGACATACACACAACATATAAACAAAAAATGCGGACTCCGCACTCTACGAAATGTCATTAATTAATATATTTTTTCAACTATCAGATAGCTATGTATTAAGTTAATGATTAGTCCATTCTATATACATACATATAAGATATACAAAAAATAAACAGTGCGTTAAGCATCGGATAAAATGAAAATTTAGTTAGGTACACTCTTTTCGTTTTGGTGTTTTGCTATTTGTGCGAAGTGCAAACCCAATTTTTTGAGGATTTTCTGTCGATAAAAGAATCGAAAATCCGATACGTAGCACACTGTATATCGACATAAAGCTATGTACAGATACAACGCACAAACCCATTTGGAAGTGGTCAGGGCAAATATTCTAAACTTCTGTCGAAAGTAGCGACTCTATTTTTAAAGTTTAACTCTTTGAGTACCGTCATTATAGACACAATTAAAGAATAATAGGTTGCGGTCACCGGTGTCCTCGCGGTGTTTGACAGTTTAAGTTTTACTTGTAGATAAGGACATTGATTCTAAAACCCACTATAAAGATAGGAGGTCATTGAAAGAGGCCTATGTTCAGCAGTGGAGGGAAGACATCTTGCTGTTTATACTTCGCATTTCTAATACATACATAAATGGATAGAGTTACACTGAATGATGCAGGTCGCTACCAACCTCGCGATGTGTAGTCTACGGGGGACTGTGGCAGGCAGTGGACAGTATGTGGCTGATTGCATGATGATTATAAAGTGACACACAGCCTTTTTCATTAACCCTTTGAGTACCGTCATTGTAGACACAATTAAAGAATAATAGGTTGCGGTCACCGGTGTCCTCGCGGTGTTTGACAGTTTAAGTGACGTGATATTTCCGTAGTTTTTATTTTATCGAATAAGCCGGTATACGAGCTAACGGATCACCTGATGGTATGCAATCGGCGCCGCTCATGGACACCCGAAACACCAGAGGCGTTACAAGTACGTTACCGGCCTTTTGGGGATTAGGAATTTGAGGATTGTTGGTGATTCAGGGATTGGGGATATTGGGGAAGGTGTGGAATTTGGGGAATTGGGCCTCCGGTAACCTCATTAACACGACGAAACTCAACGCGTTGTTTCACGTCGGTTTTCTGTGAGGCCGTGGTGTTACTCCGATCGAGCCGGCCCATTCGTGCCAAAATTTTTATTAACCCCGTACATTTTTATCAAATTTCAACTTTATTATAGAACTATTTTAAACTATCTATTATCTATTCATTATCCTTTATACAGTGACGGACACTGCCATGAACTAACAAATAATATACCCCCTTTTTTTGAGGGGGGCAAATCATCGAATGACTTCTCCCGCCCGAGTGAGGCGGGAGGGAGTGTCAGACTCTTACTGACTAAAAACTACCTTATTCCTACTCCTGCACTTCGAGCCGGAGCCCCGGTTACCCGTTAAGACTAAAAATGAAACATTAAGTATAACTACCTGTCGCGGAAAACCTAACGAGTTACCGGGGCTCCGGCTCGAAGTGCAGGAGAAGGAACGGGGTGGTTTTTAGTCAGTAAGAGTCTGACACTCCCTCCCGCCTCACCCAGGCGGGAGCAGTAATTCGATGATTTTCCCCCCTTAAAAAAAAAGTATACCTACTTACCTACATCCGAAATATTACAAACTTAAATCCGATATACCCAACCACTTCCAAAGCCCATAAAATAAGGAAATTACCTAAACCTTTGCGAATTCAGCCATTGTTTGCAGGACACCATGGAGAACTTGCATCCGAGGCCTTTCCCCCAGTCCAGAGGGGTGGCGTGCTCGTAATTGGCCCGGTACCATCCTGTATCTTCCATAAGAGCGAAAGTTATCCGGCTGAAGACTGAGTTCTGAGTGTGGGTACCAGTCATTGCTTCGTTCTGTCGAAGGAGAAAGAATGAGTTTGGTAAACGTTTTTCTTTTATGGTATAAATTACGTTTAACCTTCAAGTCCTGACGTGGTTTACTCATACCATAAATGGTGACGTGACGTATGTCAAACACGTTCTCACGCCTACAACCCCCACTTTCTTTGAAGTCGGTTTATTGATATACTAAAACCCCCTAAGTGTAACAAACACTTTTCTGAAGACCGCATCGAAATCGGTTGAGCCAATTGCGGGATATTCGCGCGCAAACATACATACATACAGACATACAGGTTAAACTAAGAACCTCACTCTTTTTGAAGTCGGGTAAAAATACATTCATTATCAGACCATACCTCAAATATCCTCTTCTCCCAGTGAGTGAGCGCTGTACCGTCCCCACCCTGGTCTTCTAACTCAGCGCCCTCCAACTCTGAGCAGTTGAAGTGATCTCGCACCTGAAAAATTAATATAAGAAACAAATGGTAAAAGTGTACATTGCCAACAAAGAAATCGCCGGTACGCTAGTCGACTCTTCGTGTGAAAAAAGGACTGGATATTTCTTCGGACAGAAAATAAATATTCAACGAGACAATGCCATCAGTTTCTTGGCATCTATTTCTTTTTTTTTAAACCTTGCCCCAAACCAGGATTTTCTCCTGTGTCGTGGGTGCGTTTACAAACATACAAGTTCACATACACATGACACACATCGGAATAACAATCTATGGATCACACAAAGAGTTGTTCCGTGCGGGAATCGAACCCGCGACACGTTGCGCGGCAGCCAGTTGCCCAGCCACCGCGCCAACTGCGCAGTATTCATAGAATTTTGACACATTTTTATTACAAAACACCGACAATATATAATATCTTGCACGACCCGGGAATCGAACCCGAGACCCCTTGCCCGGCAGACGCACTTGCCACACCACTCGCCAACGACACGAAAAAAAATGTCAGTAGTAGCACGGAGTATGGAAATGTGACTCATAACATAAATAGTGAAAAGTGGGTGTTACTTCTGTGTGCACCTCTGCCTACCCTTTCGGGGATAAAAGGCGTGATGTTATTATGTTATATTATGTCTTTCTTTCTTCTAAATGTATTAGTTTAAATGTACCTCTTGAACGACCCTGGGAGTGACCACCATATGGAAGGTCCTCTCCATGTATCCACCGCGAATCATCCAGTTCTTCCTCGTTATATTCTTCACAACACGATCAGACCATTTGTGAATTTGTAATCTGAAAATAAACATAGATTTAAAGTGTGGGAGAGCCATGCTTCGGCACGAATGGGCCGGCTCGACCGGAGTGATACCACAGCCGAGCAGAAAACCGACGTAAAGCAACGCTTGCGTTGTGTTTCGTCCTGTGAGTGAGGTTACTGAAAGCCCAATTACCCTCCCCTTCCCCAATCTCTCCAATTCCTGAATCTCCAACGATCCTCAAACTCCTAATCCCAAAAGGCCGGTAACGCACTTGTAACGCCTCTGGTGTTCCAGGTGTCCATGGGCGACGCTGATTGCTTACCATCAGGTGATCCGTCTGCTCGTTTACCGGCTTATGCAATAAAAAAAAGTGTTGTATAACATACATGGGCGGCGCTGATTGCTTACCAAGTGATGATGGTTCTACTAACAGTGAAGCTCAGTTTTTCCCTCTCTATCTAATAAAACCGTTGAGAAAGTCAAAATCGAAATCATTTATTTAAATTAGACAAGGAATGCACTTTAGAATGTCGACAAAAAATAATTAAAAGTGTAACTATTTGTTCATTTCAACAGTTAAGCAATCAATGGACGTGCGTCGCACCCATGATTGCTGACCAAGATTCGGACGATCGAGCACGTGTAGCCAAAAGTGCATATAATTAGATATTACTTATAAATGTAATCAGTCTTGTAGAACCATTGTAACAATAAACATTAAAATTAAATACTTTTTTAATTAATTTCTCGATCGCCATAACTTAACTCAAGGTATTTTTTTTAAGGGGGGAAAATCATCGAATGACTCCCGCCTGGGTGAGGCGGGAGGGAGTGTCAGACTCTTACTGACTAAAAACCACCACTGCACGTCGAGCCGGAGCCCTGGTTACCCGTTAGGTTCTCCGCGACTCATTTCAAGGGGCTGTCTCCACGAGCGAGAGAATCGCGGCGATATCATCGCCGTGCCACGTTTTTCTATACACTCTCTATGGTACCGTCTCCACACGGCGATATTATCGCCGCGATGCGACGAGTGGCAACGAGCGCGCAAAACGTTTACATCGTCGCTAGCCCGCCACGACTAGCAACGCGCCCGCCGCGACTAGCAACGCACCCGCCGCGACTAGCAACGCGCCCGCCGCGACTAGCAACGCACCCGCCGCGACTAGCAACGCGGCCGCCGCGCGCTCGCGACGCTCTCGCGACGAGCGCGCGGCGGGCGCGCTGTCAAATGCAGTGTCATTTCAGCATTGCCTCTCGTTAAGCGAAGACGTCTCTAGAAGTCGTCAAGGAAACGCGGCGATACCGTAACGACTCGCGACGATACGCGGCGGAATTATCGCTCGTTCGTGAAGATTATCCGACGATATAGGGCGGACTCGTCGCGATTCTCTCGCTCGTGGAGGCAGCCCCCAAGGTATAGATTCCTATGGAGAAGAACGAACAAGAAACACAGAAGAAGGTAGTCTGAATAGTATTAACAACATACTCTTCGTCCATCGGTGGGTTCCCAGTGTCTGGTCGTCGTTCCGTTAATGGTTCTCCATTTTCATCTCTGGAAAGATAAGAATTATATCATTTTAACAATTATTTTGACGACAATCGCTATACTATACAATCTAGTTTTTTGCTGAACTTAAATCACGCCTTTTTATCCCCGAAGGGTTAGGCAGAGGTGTATATTACAGCACTTAATGGCACTGTACAATGTAACATTCACTTTTCACTATTCAGGTTATGAGTACCATGTAATAGGGGGTGAGCCTATTGCCATAATATACCGGGCACATTCCAGACTCCGTGCTACGTGCTACTACTGAGATTTTTTTTAAAACCCAGTAAGTAATACTTTGCCCGACCCGGGAATCGAACCCTAACCCCCTTGCCCGGCAGTCGCACTTGCGACCACTCGGCCATGGAGGCAGTCAAAAAAAATATCAATGATTACCTGTAAAAAGCGAATAGTGACACGCTGAAGCCCAGTGCGTGTAGCATCTCATGTTTGACAGTAGACAGCACTGACGGAAGGTCCCTGTTGTTGGTGGACAGCTCGCCTGGACAGAAATTTGCATGACCTGCTACTGGCCTGAAAAAAAACATTTAAATATAAATTGCAACAACACACAGCGCCATCTAGTATAATTTATCCAAAACAACCACAACCACAAACACCTATTATGAAGATTGAGCACACATGCAAACCATCCGCCTTTATAAGCAGAGTTGTCTTCGAACAAATCATCATTCTACTAGCTAGAGGATCAGAGTTTGGTAGCCTAGCAGCCTATTCTGAACCTACGTACGACTAACTCCAGTTCGATAGCCTAGAGGTCTTCTGGAATTAGCCAGCTAGGGGAGGTCTGAAAGACGATAGCAACGCAGACCCTTTCATCCCTCCACTTAGGGTTGCAATTATCTTGATTATTTATTTATTTATTAACAAATTCTTCATAGCTTACAAAATTAAATGATTACAACCAAAACAGATATTTGATTCATCATCATCATCATCATCATCAACAGCCTATAAATGCCCACTGCTGAGCAAAGCCTCTTCTCACACGGAGAAGGTTTGAGCATTAATCACCACGCTTGCTCAATGCGGGTTGGCGATTACAAACTTATAATTAGAAATTATAAGCCCAGGTTTCCTCACGATGTTTTCCTTCACCGTTTGTCAGTGGTGTCTGAACAATCTTTGAAAGTACAAATAACTCGGAAAAAGTTACATTGGTACTTGCCGTTGGCAGGTTTCGAACCCGCACCCTCATGCATGAGAAGCGGGCGTCTTAAACCTCCGGGCCACCACGACATATTTGATTCATTACGCCAATAATGAGGAACACGTGAAAAAGCAGAATTCAAATACAAAAATGTTGCTATATTTATGAAGGAAACAGCTATCTATATCAGTCGATGATTTTACTATATAAATTGTAGGTAGTTAATGATATACTTATGGAGTGAATGAGGGTGTGTAGTTGTGTCTCTGTGGAGTGTTATCATTAATTAAGTATTTGGTCCTATTGAGCGACCAAATTACTGTTTAACTTTATTCTTAAATACATTACGACTTGTATTAAAGTGATCTAAGTTCGAGAAACTGTTTTGTAGATATCAGGGATGCAAATAAACGGCGACATTTTTTATATAAAACTAGTGGTCCCGACAGACGTTGTCCTGTAATAATAGGTATAGATAAATAACCTAGCAACCGACTGCAGCGCCATCTGCCGGGCTGATTTGTGAATCTAAACCATTCCCAGATCTCCTTGAACACACACAAAAAATTTCATCAAAATGGGTCCAGTCGTTTGAGAGAAGTTCAGTGACATACACACTCACAGAAGAATTATATATACCTATAAAGATTAATAATGAATAGTTTAGTTAATAGTAAATTGATGTAACACATTTACATTCAGCAACATCTATTACTTGAACTGATTGGAAACTGACACATGCGTGCTGCCATCAGACCAGCAGCTGAAACCAAATGCCATTTAACGCTTGTCTACATGTAGAATAAAAAACCAAATTATATGGAATTGACGTAAATTTTGACACTTGTCAGTGTCATCCCCATACATTTTGATTTCTACTCTCTCTGTAGACAAGCGCTAACGTGGCGTTTGGCTAAAGGCACACGGATGCGAATAAACGGCGACATTGTTTATAGTAAATTGATAATGAATAGATTTGTTTGTAGTAAATTGATGTAACACATTTACATTCAGCAACAGCTATTACTTGAACTGATTGGAAAAAACTGACACATGCGTGCTGCCATCAGAACAGGTCCGCTCATACTAAGGATCCAAATACAGCTTTAGATACTAGCATATCTCTTTCGCTTCATCTACATTCATCAATCTTTTAATGCGTTCTATTGCCTCTGATGTTACCCCAATTGGAGACAGGCGTGATGATATATATGTATATAGCTCTACATTCTGTGTTTTTACTAAGAATTTAATAATTCAATAACACATGACTCAAGAATCGAACCTGAAACGATTTACTTAGCTTTCGAACTGCTTAAATAGGTTATCATAGATAACGTATATAGCATAGTAATAAAATTTTATATCAAAAACGTAACTTAATCAATTAATCAAAAGTTAAGCATAGCAAGCCAAGGTACAGAAAAGGATGGGTGACCTGTCTAAAGCAGATTCCTGCTGGCAATGAGAAGCGTATGCCACCGTCTGTCCACGTCGACACCTCTCTGTCTCCACCGCACTAACATACAGCACAAAGTCAGTATCCTCTACTCCTGAATAATCTACTTCAGGATCTGCCACTGAAAAGAAGAGAAGAATACTATGTTAGTGATAGAAGAATATAACATAACATAACATCACGCCTTATATCCCCAAAGGGGTAGGCAGAGGTGCACACAGTAGTAAAGTTCACCCACTTTTCACTATTTATGTTATGAGTCCCATGTAATAGGGGGTGAGCCTATTGCCATATACCGGGCACATTTCCAGACTCCGTGCTAGTACTCAGATTTAAAAAAAAAAAAACCCAGTCATATTTTGCCCGACCCGGGAATCTAACCCGAGACCCCTTGCCCGGCAGTCGCACTTGCGACCACTCGGCCAACGAGGCAGTCATAGAAGAATATGTCATTTTAAAATTCTCCAATAACGCTTTGATTGACTCGGAATTGAACCCGGGACCTCTTGCTTGGCGGTCGTCTTTACCAACAAGACAGTTAAGCTGCCGAGTCCCCAAGCGGTCACCGGTGACCGTTCTCCACTTACTCCATTATTATAGACCTTATTCCCGCTGTTTAGAGACTACTTTTGTAGGAACAAAATGTTGTGAATTTTTCATATATCGCACGCTAAGAACGAAAGTGACCGATTTCAAAATTTTGGTTAAATGAGAAGATACAGAATGACTCAAAAAAAGTATACACCATCATACATAAATTCGAAAACTGGCCAATAAAGGTGAGAAAAGGATAGAGATATATTTCGGTCTCTTTGTCCCTCAACCGTTCCCTCCCCCCGCGCCCGAATCAAAGTGACGAAATCAGTGTTGCACCGTGAGTTGTCATGACAAGACAAATATATTTCAAAAGAAATAAATAACTTTGTTACCATGTTTTAGTGTTATTGTAGAGGTAGATTTCATTTGTGTCAGCTTGGAGTTGTCATGCTCACTCAAAGGTCTCATTGGCGGTGGCGCGTGCAGTGGATCGCTCGATTCCCTACAATATGGTTGAGTTGGGCGGTGCTGGTGTACGTGTCATGTTCGTGAACGGGCGCCGTCAACTGGGACTGGTCAGCTCCAGACTGTATTACTGTCCTTAAGGTTATTTTCTTTTTTGATCACTTTGACTGGATTTTAGTGTTACATTGTTCTCGCACAATCCAAACAGCAAAACTATGTAACTAGTAAATTGTATTGTGAACCTGATTAAAAAGTAACCTATGGAGTTTCTTGCTCGTTCTTCTCCATAGGAATCTACGCCTTGGAATGAGCAAATAGCTTCACTTTAAATTTTTGTTGTTGTTGACGTTTAAAAGTGCCATTCTGGCCTAATTGAAATAAATGATTTTGACTTTGACTTTAACAGAAAATGCTTATATTAATACGGCGGACACATTTTCGCCTATTCCCAAAAATTGGCAATTTTAAGTTGAGTCACTTTCGTTCTCAGGGTGCGTATGTGGATACACAAGCTATAGGAAAATAATAATTATTGCGTAAAAATATAAAACGACTAGGTATCTGTGTGATAAAAAGTCTTAATTATAATGAAAAAGTCATTCAAAAGCTCACCACCCACAGTCAAACCGCTAAACCGGTTTTGTGGGAAAAGGTTATAAACTCAATGTGTACACTGTTGTGATTATAAATAAATAAATAATAAAAAAAATAATAATTGCGCAACTCATTACGGGCCTCGGTTTAACCCGAAACTGTTCGGTGATCCCCGTAAAAGATGGCATGAGTAAGATAGACTGCCTCGTTGGCCGAGTGATCGCAAGTGCGACTACCGGGCAAGGGATCAAAGTAGGTGTCACAATCTCAGTAGTAGCACGGACTCTAGAATTGTGTCCGGTATATGGCAATAGGCTCACCCCCTATTACATGGGACTCATAACATAAATAATTAAAAGTGGGTGTTACATTGTACAGTGGCATTAAGTGCCGTAATGTGTGCCACTGTAGGCAGAGGAATAAAAGGCGTGATGTTATGTTTTTATGAGTGAGACAGACAAAATCCTTACTAATATTATAAATCTGAAAGTGAGTTTGTTTGTTTGTTCCACCTTCACGCCGTAACTACTCAACCGATTGCTTTGAATTTTTGCAGACGTAAAGGTAAAAGTCCGGATAAAATAATAGGGTACATTTTAACCCGGAAAAAATTGATATTCCCGAGGAAAAACCAAAGTATTGGTATAGATGGCGCTGTGTGTATTGGTATATGTCACATAGGCTACTTTTTATTCTTTTGTGACGCGAGCGAAGCCGCGGGTAAAAGCTAGTATTAAATATTATGTCTTTCTCACCTTGCGGTACCTCCGTTGCCTCGTTAATGGAATTCCCATCAAGTTCTGTCGGTACCTCATCGTCTATTCGAACATTTCGAGGCAACGATCTGCAGTTATGTCCTGTACTGTTACACACGTAGCAAAGCTGAAAAATATCAAAAAACAATATTAAACACATGAGGGTAAGACATAAAATAGAGTAGCAGTTCATGTAAAAATATTGTCCAGCCAACTGACGGTAGCGGTGACTGTCCAGGCGACACACATACTTAGGTATGGTCATGAGCTAATGTTCACATGTAAACAGCAGCTCATGTAAAGAGATTGTCCAGTCAACTGATGGTAGCGGTGACTGTCCAGGCGACACACGTACTTAGGTATCGTCATGAGCTAATGTTCACATGTAAACAGCAGCTCATGTAAAGAGATTGTCCAGTCAACTGATGGTCGCGGTGACTGTCCAGGCGATACACACGTACTTAGGTATCGTCATGAGCATGTTCACATGTAAACAGCAGCTCATGTAAAGAGATTGTCCAGTCAACTGATGGTAACGGTGACTGTCCAGGCGACACACGTACTTAGGTATCGTCATGAGCTAATGTTCACATGTAAACAGCAGCTCATGTAAAGAGATTGGCCAGTCAACTGATGGTAGCGGTGACTGTCCAGGCGACACACGTACTTAGGTATCGTCATGAGCTAATGTTCACATGTAAACAGCAGCTCATGTAAAGAGATTGTCCAGTCAACTGATGGTCGCGGTGACTGTCCAGGCGATACACACGTACTTAGGTATCGTCATGAGCATGTTCACATGTAAACAGCAGCTCATGTAAAGAGATTGTCCAGTCAACTGATGGTAACGGTGACTGTCCAGGCGACACACGTACTTAGGTATCGTCATGAGCTAATGTTCACATGTAAACAGCAGCTCATGTAAAGAGATTGGCCAGTCAACTGATGGTAGCGGTGACTGTCCAGGCGACACACGTACTTAGGTATCGTCATGAGCTAATGTTCACATGTAAACAGCAGCTCATGTAAAGAGATTGTCCAGTCAACTGATGGTAGCGGTGACTGTCCAGGCGACACACGTACTTAGGTATCGTCATGAGCTAATGTTCACATGTAAACAGCAGCTCATGTAAAGAGATTGTCCAGTCAACTGATGGTAGCGGTGACTGTCCAGGCGACACACGTACTTAGGTATCGTCATGAGCTAATGTTCACATGTAAACAGCAGCTCATGTAAAGAGATTGTCCAGTCAACTGATGGTAGCGGTGACTGTCCAGGCGACACACGTAATGAAATGAACAGTAACAGACGGACAAATTATGGTAAAATTATATCACCTAGACGTTCAAATCAAATCAAACCTGGGAGTAAAAATAAGTATAGAAAATAATAAAAAAGCGAATAAATTCAATAGCCAATAACAAAAGTCGTTTCAATAAGAGCAACGCTGTAACAAAACAATTTTATGTATTTCAATTTAGTACAAAATTTTAGGGCAAAAATGTTGATTCCATGTAAATTCTCTGTTGTTGGTAAGTGATTGTGCAATATTATACAACAGAAAATAACGCGAAATATCAAATCGAAGGTCGAAGTACAACAATAGGGTAGTTGCATACATTCAATGCCCGTCTGGTACATTAATTTAAAACATTAGACACGTATTTTTCTCACAAAATTAAATACTTTCCACGATATTACAGTAATCCGAAATATTGTGTGACGTCACAAAGTGCCCATTTTGTAGCACGTTGTAACGTAACAACCTCCCACTCCTAAACTAAGCGCCATTTTATCTAAGTATTGTAACTTTATACGACAAACAAAATAAAAAAATACGTGTCTAATATTTTTTCATTATCTAATTGACGGACTAATTAGATTTTTGATTTTCATATCCTGGCAACTACCCTATTGCCTGTGACGGTCCACTGTTGGATTATGGGCTTCCTCTATAAAATATTTTTTATGGCATAAGCCGGTAAACGAGGTGACGGATCACCTGATGGTAAGCAATCGGCGTCGCCCATGGACACCTAAAACAGCAAGGTGTTACAAGCGCGTTACCGGCCTTTAGGGAATTGGGGATTTGAGGATTGTGGAGGACTCGGGGATAACCTCACTCACACGACGAAACAAATCGCAAGCGTTGTTTCACATCGGTTGTCTGCTCGGCCGTGGTATCACTCCGGTCGAGCCGGCCCATTCGTGCCGAAGCACGGCTTAAGTAAGTAATTTATTCAAGTGTGGGACACTTGAATAAATTACTTGCTAGGCAGATTGATGATTGCAGTTTAATAAGATCACGTTTATCAGAGAGCGCTGCTATCAAATGTGTAGTCTCATAATCAGTTGGTACGACACCCGAGGAAGAAAAAGGGCTTTTGCTAATATACTTCATTTTGCTCTGACCACGCAGTATCATTTTTAAAAGGATATCACACGACAATCAATGTCGAAAAGTACCAGAACTTCCCAAAAAGTAATAAACAGTTTCTTTTATAACATCTCATTTGTTCCAGGTCTAAACCTTCTGTTACTAACGCACATAGCCCATACATATGTTCTTCTGACTGCAAACATGGAAGACGTAAGGAAACTAGCAAGAAAATTCGTTTCAGAATCAATAGCAAACCAAATAGTAGATTTCATTGCAAAAGCTACTGAAACGATGATGAATAATACATCAGAAGGTCACGAAACCATCAGCTCACTAACACAAGATATTTCCCATCAAGTTTCGGAAGAAAACAACAAGTATAATATCGAAAAACATGGTTTAGAAAGCGCAGCACAAGATACTTTAAAATTTGCAGAAGAAGTAGTACACAAAGAAAAAGAAAGTTCAAGTTCCGACGAAACAACTCAAGAGACGGTAACAACGAAAAGAGACAGCAAAATAGTTCTGATAAGCAATCCTTACCAAAGCCACAGTAGATACATCTCCAATGACGACAAACAAACTGACAAAGTGACGAACGAAGGAGAAGATAATAATAAAAGCACTGATATACAAAATAATTTAGAAGCAATTGAAGGCAAGAAGCCAAAAAAGAAAGAAAAACATGAAAGATACAAGCTACTATCACGCTTTACTTCTGTAGAAGACAATGGAGTTGCGGATCATTTCGCAGTCGATAACAGAACAACGCCAGATGACTTTCCTGAGAATGAAACTTTTCAAAAAAGGGCTTTGGAAAATGAGATGATCCTGAGTAAGATACAAGCTGAAGATTACGATCAGTATGATAGTAGAAAAGTTGGTGTGTTCCCGACCAGTGGACCTATGTCTTTGCTTATGCCCCAAAGGAGATTGGGCCACGAAAATTGGTGGGACAAAGAGTTGCCGAAGCCAGATACACCACAAGTTCCAGAAGGATAGCAATGAAATTTGAGTTGCCGAAGCCAGATACACCACAAGTTCCAGAAGGATAGCAATGAAATTTCGTTTTTAATAAATTATTGTGTTTTTTATGAGTTCTTTAGGGAAGGCTTTATGGGTCATTTTTGTTTGTGTGAACACTTCTGGCATGTTCAGAATAAGGTGTGAATGTACAAGTTTATTATTTATTTATTTATTTAAGTGTAGGAGAGCCATGCTTCGGCATGAATGAGCCGGCTCGACTGGAGTGATACCACGGCCGAGCAGGAAACCGTCGTGAAGCAACGGTTGCGTTGTTTCGTCGTGTGAGTGAGGTTACCGGAGGCCCAATTACGGGTCCCTAATCCCTCTCTCCTGAATCCCCGAATCCTCCACAACCCTCAAATTCCGAATTCCCAAAAGGCCGGTAAAGCGCTTATAACGCCTTGGTGTTTCGAGTGTCCATGGGCGACGCCGATTGCTTACCATCAGGTGATCCGTCTGCTAGTTTACCGGCTTATGCTATATAAAAAAAAATATTTATTTATTTTAATTCGGGTAACCATCTGCTATATTACAAAGAATAAAATTTCAGGATATGTTAATTTTTTTTTTCTTTTTATACTTTATAGGTCGACGTTATACAAAGCAAATTATAGGTTTCCACGGCTAGCCAGCTATCCAAACTTAGTTAGGCTATATTCTGAGTACCTATTATCAAGTCTAGTGTCAGAAATACTGACAGTATTTTACATGGACCGACTGCCATCTGTGGTGACTGATGACGATAATGCTGGAAACGTTTGTTATCATACCCTATTATTTTGCAAGTGTCATAAATGGACATCGGATTATATGCATTTGGATCTTTGCATATGGTATATTTTAAGGCGAAATAAAGTCCGCGGGGTCCAATAGTAACTTCTCGGTATAATTTGTAAATGGTTTTTATTGTGCTTATGTCAATATACAGGGTAAAGTAATAAAAGCTGCGACAAGAAAAGAAGAATTGTCCTTACTGAAAATATTAAATCTACTGCCTAAAATACTAACTTTCCGACTACTTTACATGACTGTTTATTGCTATAATACTAACCTAACCTAAAACGTCTGCGAGGACCGCCCTGAGGACACGGTGGAACACACAGTGGGAGAATGCCCTGCGTGGGCTGAGCACCGCCGTGCCCTCAGGGAAGTGATCGGCGATGGCGACCTCTCGCGTCCGGGCCTAGTGCAGGCCATGATGCGGAGCGAGGGGGACTGGGATGCCGTCTCCTCCTTTTGCGAAGCAGTCATGCTAGCTAAGGAGGAGGCGGGACGCGTGAGGCAGCGAAGCGCTGCCTCCTCGCAATCCAGCCATCGCGAAGGACACACCGGGCGTCGGGGATCGCGGGACGATCTCCGGCCACCGTAAGCGCGGGCCTGCGGACGGCGAGCATGGGTGGCTCCCCGTCCGACCAGAAACAGACCCGAGCGTACGGCGCGTCGCGTTTCGCGCGCGCCTCAAAGAGCCATCAGACCACCACAGATGGGGCCCAATAGGGCCGATGCCGATTCGGAGTCGCGGAGAACCTAACGGGTAACCGGGGCTCCGGCTCGACGTGCAGGAGAAGGAACGGGGTGGTTTTTAGTCAGTAAGAGTCTGACACTCCCTTCCGCCTCACCCAGGCGGGAGCAGTCATTCGATGATTTTCCCCCCTTAAAAAAAAAACGTCTGTTGTCGGTAACTTAGTAATTTTGTCGGAGGTTCAATATTCTATTCGGAAGTTTAGTTTTGTTATTCGAAGATCCATTTTTATAGTCGGCCACAGATCGCTGGAGATTAATTTTTTTCTAATATATACATATTTCGCCGTTTTTCCTATATTTTGGTATTTATTAAGCGTCTCTAGTTTTGGAAAGATAGCAATTCCATATTCCCTATTATTCCTAACCAATAAGCTAAGTACCTGATTCGTCGCGAGACGATCTTCGGCCAACGTAAGCACGGGCCTGCGGACGGCGAGCACGGGTGACTCGTCACCCGACCTGGGTGCTTACTCTTGAATCCAATTCCGATCTGTCGACATTGGTATTGTGAAATTTCGTACTCTTGAGTTGTAACATTAACGCCCATTGCATCCGAATTACATAGATATTAAATGAACTAAATGGTATTGAGTTTGGCTTTATATTCCGTACTCTGAATGCTATTTTAACAGCTACGAAAGGGGTTGTATAGTTTTGACATTGAATAGTTATTGAGATTTTACTGGATTGAAATTGCATTGACATTGAGATTGGTTTCAAGAGTAAGCACCCAGAACCAGGCCCGAGCGTACGGCGCGTCGCGCGCGCGCCTGAAGGAGCCAACAGACCACCACAGATGGGGCCTAACAGGGCTGATGCCGATACGGAGCCGCGGAAGACTTAACGGGTTGCCGGAGCTCCGGCTCGAAGTACAGGAGTAGGAAAGGGGTGGTTTTTAGTCAGTAAGAGTCTGACACCGCCTCACCCGGGCGGGAGAAGTCATTGGATGATTATCCCCCCTCAAAAAAAAAGTACTTGATTCGTGAAGCACCTGATTGTATTCAAGATCCGAGCGAATAGGTTGCTTATAGGCAGACGTGTTCCATTGTAGGCCGCATCATCACTTACCACCACACAAGACAATAGACAAATGCCGCCCCAATTAGAGAATTAAAAGTAAATTTTACCATAAAAATTAAGGTAGACTTCACCAACCCGCATTGAGCAAGCGTGGTTATTAATGCACATTCGTTCTCCGTGTGAGATGAGTTCTTTGCTCAGTGGCCACTTATAGGCTGTTGATAAATACAAGGTACTTACATTTAAATGTTCCTCCGGTACTTTCACCTCACCACACATAGTTTCAGCATTGCACTGGTCTATGCAGTGTGTCCTACCATCACGGACGAACACCTGACGCGTAGGACATTTCCTAAAACAAAAGATAACTGATAAATAAACAAAATCATTTACAACGTTTTTATAATAACTATCGTGAGACATATTAAATTAAGTTAAGTAAAAACGCGGGTTACTCACGTGAATATACCTCTATGGTTCGAAACTAGTAGAGCTTTCCTCAGTATATTCACGTGAGTAACCCGCGATTTTACTTAATTTTATTGAAATGTCAAAAACGATACTTTTCTATGAATTTTGTATTAGATCGCTACTTATGACGTCATCATATTTCTGCGTCAAACAGCATACTTATTACCTTAAAATTAGCGAGAAAAAATCCAAAAGTAGGTAAATTGTCAAATCAATGGATGAGAGTATGATTAATTTTCAATTATTTATTGCATTGAAAAGTTTAAACAATTTATTTTAAACCTAGGAAACTAGACAATGGGGATGATGACAGGGTATGAAAATTAAAAGTATAATTAGTCCGTAAGTTAGGTAATGAAAAAATATTAGACACGTATTTTTTTATTTTGTCGTATAATAAAACAATACTTAGATAAAACGAATCAAAGTTTAGGAGTGGGGGCTAAAACGTCATTTCTTAGTATAAAATGTACTGAGAAGTGACGTCACGCGACATTTCAAATCAATATATCTTCGAAACTATTCGTTTCTGTGAGAAAATAAAAAATACGTGTCTAATGTTTTTAAATAATCTATCAGACGGACATTAAAATAAAAATTAGTCGTCTACCCTATTGTAGTCTTTTGTGGGCCGGAGGTTTAAAGACGGCTGCTGTTCATACATGAGGGTGCAGTTTCGAAACCTACCAACAGCAAGTACCAATGTGACTTTTTCCGAGTTATATGTATTTTCTAAGATTATCTAGACACCACTGACAAACGGTGAAGGAAAACATCGAGATGAAACCTGAGCTTATAATTTCTAAATTTTGTTTTGAAAACGCCAATCCGCATTGAGCACGCGTGGTGATTAACGCTCAAACCTTCGTGGGAGAAGAGGCCTTTGGTCAGCGGTGGCGAATTATAGGCTGTTGACGATGATGATGATTTTTTTTTATTATATAAAAACGTTGCCCTACATTAGTATTTTCTCCTGTATCGTGGGTGCGTTTACAAACATACCTACAAGTTCACATACACAATGACACCCAGACCCGAAACAACAATTTGTGGATTCACAAAGTGAATCGAACCCGCGACACGTACACGTTGCACGGCAGCCGGTTGCCACCACACCAATCGTGCAGTCAAATGATGTTGAGTCAAAATGATGATGAGGAATGACGGCTGATATTGGAACAATAAGACTTAATTTGAAAAACCCAGCTTCCGTCTACTAATGAACATACACCCAATATAAGAGAATAGCACACCACTGAGCTCGATCTGAGGGCTTAATACGGGTTTTTTTCCGTTCAGAATAATCGTAGCGAGACCGCGTTTGGCGGTCTCACTAGTTGGTGTATTTGAGCTTACCCATCAGACCGCAGAACGCGGGCTCGATTTGATTACTTTAAAACTAACTCGTAAACTCTTATACGCTTCTTAGACCATCTTTATATAATTATATAATTCTTCTGTGAGTGTGTATGTCACTGAACTTCTCTCAAACGACTGGACCGATTTTGATGAAATTTTTTGTGTGTGTTCAAGGGGATCTGGGAATGGTTTAGATTCACAAACCAGCCCGGCAGATGGCGCTGCAGTCGATGTTTAGGTTATTTATCCTAAACAGCTGAACTAATCTGAATGGATTTTTGTTTATACATTCAAGTGGATAGGCAGGACAACGTCTGTCAGGGTCGCTAGTATCAGTATATAATGTTGAATTTTTGACAGCTACTGTGATTGGTCAAAATACCTTTAATTTTCTTTGTACAGATTTCGCAGATTATTCTTTATTGTTGTCAGGCAGAGCCGTATCCTACGGCAAACCTAAGCTAGGTCTAGGGCGCCAGGTTGCTGAAGAGCGCCGCGACACCCGCGTGTTCAACTGCATATTCAGTGACAGCGCCATGCACCACCAAAAAAATTGTGGCGCTTATGAGTGCTTGCCTTTTTTTGAGGTGGGAATATCATTCCTTACACACGGGTTGGTTCTGATCGGGCGGCAAGCTACCCTTGCTCACCATCCGCAAACCCGCACTTACGGTAGCCAGAGTACGTCACGCGATATCCGACGTCCGGAGTGTCTCCCGCGACGACTGGGGCGTGAGGAGGTTCGTTTCCTCACGCGTTCCGCCTCCTCCTTAGGCTGATTTTAGTCTCACGCTGACCGTCAGCGCTCATAGCTCAGCGCGTAGTTTGACAGAAGACAACCAAACCGTACTTTATCCGTCAGCGCTGACCAAAGAACGCTTTATTCTAAAACGCTTTATAGAAGTTAAACATTTCGGTTCTCAGCGCTGACGATCAGCCTGCAGTCAGGGCGACTCTAAAACCAGCTTTAGCTAGAATGACTGCTTTGCAAAGGGAGGAGACGACATCCCAGTCCCCCTCGCTCCGTATGATGGTCTGAACAAGAGTACGCAGGGCACACCGCCACCGTGTGCTCCACTGTATCCTCCGCTTGCCTAAGACGCTCTCTAGATGTAATCGACCTTTATGGTCAGGTAAACGTTCTTATAAAAGAAAATGTGGTAACTGATACCCGTGCGGCACAGGGACTGACCACAGTCTTAATAAAGAAATTCAATATGAGTACGAAAGACCTAATTAAATTAAACATTATCAGTCAGCAAAACACTGAATTTATGTCCAGATAGATAACACACACAATCAATTGTATATCACTCAAATTTTTTGATAATAATCGTTTTAAAATTGTCACGTCATGATGCGTTTTTGTTTTTTAGTGTATTTACCATGCCTGTGGTCAGATGAACTTTGCATTGACTTAAATTCGTTGAATGACCGTCCACGTAAACAAAAGTTATGAAGGGAATTATCTTACCAAGTGTGGGAGAGCCATGCTTCAGCACGAATGAGCTGGCTCGATCGGAGTGATACCACGGCCGAGCAGAAAACCGACGTGATATAACGCTTGCGTTGTGTTTCGTCGTGTGAGTAACGTGCCCAATCTCCCGAATCACTGAATCCCCAACAATTCTCTAATTCCTAACCCCTAAAAGGCCGGCAACGCATCTATAAAGCCTCTGGTGCTTCGGATGTCCATGAGCGACGCCGATTGCTTACCAAATCAGGTGATCCTTCTGCTCGTTTACCGGCTCAACCCATAAACAAAAACCTAACGGCTTCTTCGACATAAGGTTTGTTAAAACTTCCATGTTTGCAGGCGGATTGTACAAATTTCAGGTTTATCAGAGCGCGCTGCTGTCCATTCTCTGTCAAATGTGTAGTCCTGTAGTCGGCTAAGACACCAGCGGGAAGAATAGGGCCAGTGACAAAAGTCTACAGGAAGTCTAGATTACAGTTATATTCCTAGGTAAATCGAATATTACATAGCGCGGATAAGCACTGAATATTTTGAATATAGATAAAGCAAACGATTAGATTACCTATCAACCAGATACATACCGTACGTCACAGATACAATTTTTGTACTATTATTTATGCTTTTTCTAGATTTCCAATGCGTCTACTTCCGAATTAAAAATACATAATTTAAGTATAGGAGAGCCATGCTTCGGTATGAATGGGCCGGATCCACCGGAGTGATACCACGGCCTCACAGGAAACCGACGTTAAAAAATATTTGCGTTTTTATTGTGAGGCCTAATCCTTTTGCTCCCAGTTGCAATTCCCAAATCCTTAACCCCACAAATGGCTGGCAAAGCATTTGTAAATCCTCTACTGTATCGAGTATCCATGGGCGGCGCTGATTGCTTACCATCAGGTGATCCAACAGCTCGGTTAACGGCCTTATTTCACAAAAAGAGTTTGTATGGCGCAGTGACTGAGTTCATCTATCTACTGGTGATCGATAAATTGTTCAGCTTCTGGGTGTCATGTGTATGTGAACTTGTATGTTTGTAAACGCACATACGATACAGGAGAAAATCCTAGTGTGTGGTCAGGTTCTATATAAAAAGGTGTTCGCTTATCGGAATGTTAAGAGCAAGCGCTATATTCCTCGAATTGGTTATCGAATTATGAAAGTGTAACATCACTTTTCGAGTATATTGACGTATAACTGATATTTGGACTTCGTGCCTCCAACACAATTATAATAAGGCTGATTTTAGATCCACGCTGACCGTCAACGCTTATAGTTGCGGACGTAGTTTGACAGATGACGATCAAACAGTAGCTTTGCCCGTCAGCGCTGACCGATGCATTCGATATTTTAAAAGGGTTTAAAGAAATTCATACGTTATACTGCCTCGTTGGTCGAGTGGTCGCAAGAGCGACTGCCGGGCAAGGGGTCTCGGGTTCGATTCCCGGGTCGAGCAAACTATTATTGGGTTTTTAAAAAAAAATCTCAATAGTAGCACGGAGTCTGGAATTGTGCCCGGTATATGGCAATAGGCTAACCCCCTATTACATGGGACTCATAACATAAATAGTGAAAAGTGGGTGTTACATTGTACAGTGGCATAATGTGCACCTCTGCCTACCCCTTCGGGGATAAAAGGCGTGATGTTATGTTATACGTTAGACTGTCAGCGCTGACAATAGCTTGTGGTCAGTGCGACCCTTAAACCGGCCTTACACTTTATACGTCTTGGAATTTGCAGGCCCTTGCTCGGCCACCGCGCTTGTCCTATTAATTCAGGGAGGAAATCTTCGAATGACTTCGTAGCACGGCGCCAAGCAGGAGTAGGAATAGGATGGTGTTTAGTCAGTTAGAGCCTGACACTCCTTCTAGCCTCAACCAAGAACGGGAGAAGACCTTCGATGATTTCCCCCTTAAAAAAGAACATTAACTATGTGCCCTTCACTTCCAATTCTTCCAACCCTTTCGGGGATAAAAAAACCTAGAAAGAAAGATAAAAATACGCATTTATTACATCATATGACTGCCTCGTTGGCCGAGTCGTA